CCACTAAGCAAAATATGCAAACAAATAATGAAGTTGTTATCAACTGTGTCCACACCAGGGGCTTTTTCCTGTATAGCTCTGCCACTGATACATCTCACTTCATCATACCCATAGCCAAAATAGCTGTGCCAGCAGAAATTCATATTTCTAAGCCTGACCTCAAAATAGAGTTTGACTGTCAAAGAATGGGAGGCCCCAAATGACACTGGAATGTATCTCTGAAGTACATTCGTTATTCAAAGAGGCTGAATTGAAGAAAAATGACAGCAAAGTTGCAGTGAACAACAGAAGAGCTTTTAGGAATTACCAGTTCAAATGTGATAGCATTAATTCCTTACAAAGATGGAAGGCAGAGAGGAGGACACAAAACGCCTAGAAGTCATCCCCTAATATAAGGGAAGAGAGGAAGATAACACCTCACGTAGTGATAAACAAGGAATAGTGAAATGGTAAGAAATGACAAGTCAGTTTGGAAAACGAACTAGCATAAAGATGATTTCATCCCATGGGAAGATGCCAGACAGATTGCCAGCTACAACAGCTTCAGAAAATATCTGCAATTTAGGACAGGAGAGCCTTTAAAATTACTACTGAAACAGCCACCCTCACAAATTGGCACCAGGACTAAAGTTTAAGTGACATGTTAATGACATTTGCCTGTTACTACCATCACTCAAAGCACATGTGGGGAACATAACACCACAGGGCCTACATGCAGCCTTTACCTTCACTGCATACAAACTGCCAGTACGGGTGGTATATGTAGGGTACCTGAAAGCCACGGTCTGCCATCAGGAAGCACAGTGTTCCCCATACAAATAATGCAGTAATGAAAATATGAGACAACCAGACAGATTTTCTGTCTCAGATCCCCCCATAGATTGAGTTGCAAATGCTGTACACCTGAGAAATCAGTAGAGCACATAAGTCTACCGAAGACAGCTCAGCAGCCTTCCCCCAAATTACTTACAAGGACTAATTTGTATTGCCAGATTAATCTCAAAATAAAGCAATTAATTTAAGCAAAATAAAAAGGAAACAAAAAAACACCTTCTCTACCATAGTAATTTACACATTAGTAAATTTATTATGCAGCTGCAAATTAATATGTCACCTACACTAGCTATCACAAGCCTCTCAGTCTGTCTTGGAACCTCTTGCTTTAATAAACAGCTGCATGTAGTGGAGAAAATATGCAAACATCTTTCTTGTTTCTCTGTGCCATTGTGTCAGCTGTTTTACATGTCTTTGAAAGTGCTCCAAAATCAGCATGGTTCTGCTTTTTCCTTTATTTCATTTTGGGAGAAGACAGAAGCAGAGAAGGAAGGACAGGCTGGCAATAGTAAGCTAACTCCACGCTTGCTGTGCTCATGATAGTAAAGCTGAGATTGTTTCAATTCAGTTTACACAGACCCTTCCGTAAGAACAAAAGAAACCAATGATGGTGGTTAAAAATGCAAAAGGTTTTGATTGTAATGCCTTGACAATCAGCCAAAGATATGACTGGGGGGGAAAAACACCAGACAGCAATGGCCAGAATGGAAGAAACAAGGAAAAACACATGGCTTGACTTCAGAGCAGAAAATTGACTTAGGCTTTGCATAAGCAGCAGCATACCTCCAAGCTTGCCTGATCCACAGCCTGCCTGGAATGAGAAAATGTAGTCTAAAAGCAGAGCCTATTAAAAGGCATAATGTTTCTAAATGGCATCTGTTGCGTACTAATAAGCATTACTTAAAGGACACAGGCCTTAAATTGCTACCAAACGTGCACTTATCTGAAACTGCTGCAAGGCAATCATTACAAAAATGTCACATGACACCATGGGAATCTGAATTTGATAAGATGTTTTTATTTAGTTTGGCTTGAAATCATTACGCAGAAAAAATATGGAGGCATTTTCTGAGACTTTGAGACTGTGGAACTTCACAGGAATGAAACACTAGCAAGAACTACATCAACAGAGCCATTTGCCATCTGTTGTTGGTAATACTATAAAGACCAGCCACCAGACAGCAGTTTCAAAGGTTACAAACAACATTTTTAAGCATCCACAGACCACTCAGAAAATGAGCAGGACACAGTTTACTTTGGATACGTGTGACCTGAGGGTCTGCCAGTCATTTTCCAAACACAATATGTAAGGACTGTGACCAGTGCATGCCACTAGAAATGTTTGTGAGATTCTTGGTGTGCAGCTCTTATACAGTGCAGAAAATACGCAGCAGTGTGTTCTACATAGGTCCTTATAACACACTCACAAGCATAATGGCAACACATCTTGCCCCTTGAAATTTAAACAGGCAAGATTTTCTCTTGTGGTTTGTTCTCTTATACTCCCTCCCCGAGGGAAGGTGCATGTTTGCTGAAACGCTATTATGAAAAGAGACTCAGATTTGTTTGCTGGGATTTGGAGTGTATTTTTTTGTTTTAGGAAAGTATTTCCAAGGAGAAAGGATTTTATTACCTGTTTCCTTTCCTTCCGGGCCGTAACTACGCGTTTATGTTAAAGCAAGGTGACAGTAACTTACCTTCCTGTGGCACAGAAAGTAAAAAGGTTCTAGAAATTGTTACCTCCTAGAAAAGCATACTCCTCAGTCTGAGTAAAACGCTCTCTCTTCCATAGATGAGAGTTTAGTTATGCTGAAGGAATACAGTTGCTGATCAGACTCTAAGTTAGAGCTTCGAGTAGGTTTTCTAAATGTGCATCCACACTGTCATGATTTTGAGTTTCCACCTTTCAGGGTGCTGCCCTCACACCTGCAAACTTTAAATGATTAACATCAAGGCAGATGGAAAATTAAAACTTCATTAGTGCAGTTGTTAAGCTAGATGTGTGGGTCTGTCACATGGCATCTACCTACTTCTCAGCTCTGGAATCATAACCTTGCAAGTCCTGCTTTATGAAAAAGCCACAGGAACAGATGACCTTGAGATCATGTAGAGTTGTACAACCTCATTATAGAAGACATAACCTGGAAAGTACCTTTTGCACAAGAAAAGCTAATCGTTGAATCCAGTATTTTCGTGAAATGTGCTGTGTGCTCAACCTGTATTCATTCAATTGTTACATATGAGTATGCAATTAACTGAATAACTACGTCAAAATTCAAATGATGGCTACAAACAATGACATTTGTCCCAAAAGAGGAGAGGAATAACTCTTCCAAACATTCCATTTGAGAATAAAGAAATCTGGAAAATAAAATGTAGGTGTACCTGAAGCACCCAACGGTCCATTTGCTGGGACGTGAAAAACCTAGTCCCATTCATCTAGAGATACTGCATTTAAAAACATGAGTAGAATAAGAGAAGAGAAGAGAAGAGAAGAGAAGAGAAGAGAAGAGAAGAGAAGAGAAGAGAAGAGAAGAGAAGAGAAGAGAAGAGAAGAGAAGAGAAGAGAAGAGAAGAGAAGAGAAGAGAAGAGATCAACATGCAATTATTATCAATGTTTGACTTCCACAAGTGGCTGGCAGGAGAGGAAAAAATAGAGCATTCTGACTACAAGTGCATTTAGCCATGAGCAGTTAGAGGAACTAATGAACAGCATCATTATTCTACTGAAGGGGATGAAGTAGGTGCTTTAGATAAATGGTAGCAACTTAAAATACGTTTCAGAAGATAAAATTCACTTTCTCTCCATTTACCTGCTGGTGTGACAAATTAAGAAAGAGCATAAAACAGGAGCAAGAGGGAAAGCAATGCAAAAGGTAGCTGAGGGGATGCAATGGGCCCTTATACAAATGGTGCACACACAGAGAGTGCTGGAAGAGCTCCTAGACAAATACAACCAGGACGCTTCACACACTGGGCTGCCTTGGAAATCCGTGACAGAGTTTGCTCTGAGTTTGTCCTAAAATAAGACTCCAGGCACCAGAAGTGCTGCCACCCTGGAACTAACCTAATCTGTTTGCTTCAGTGTTGCACCTGGAATGCAATCAGGAGCTCTCCCAGCTGGGCTGTGCTGGGCAGAGGCTCTTTGGCAGCTGCCACAAACACCACCAAATCGATGGTCGCTGCAAGCAAAGGGGCAAAGGTTTTCTTCCCCCAGAATTAATCATTAGAGACAGTGAGTTTTTTTACCCTACAGCCATCTCACGATTAACAAAGTATTCGCTGAAGGGCCGAGCACCCACGCACAATGGAAAAAGCCTCCTGCAGCTCCTCTGTACACCAAAACCACCCAGCTAACTGTTTCTCCGCGGTCAAAAAGCACCGCGTTCGCCTCTCCTCGTGTCCCCGACGCCGTGCTCTGCTTCCCCCCGAGGAAGCACTTGAACACAGCCCACAGTTTGGCCTTAAAGACGTATACGTGTGCTTAGACAGTGTTCTCCCTGCTCTTTGTTGCTTCTCGCACATCGAGCCGTCGGGCCACGAGCTCCGCACGGCTGGACGGGGAGCCCAAGCGGGGCCGCCTGAGGCCCCTCCTCACCTCAGCGATCCTCTAGAAGCACGGCCGCCAAGGCCGGGGCTCGTCCTGCCATGACCTCAGGCGACGGAACAAAGCATTCCTGGAAAGGCCCGCGACTTCGGCCGCGTTTTGGCCGTTTCTTCACAGCGCCGCGGCGGGCGCCGAGGGCAGCGCGGGGAGCCCGCCGTTTCGCAGCGGCGCGAAGCTGCGGGCGGGACGGGGCACCGCGGGACGGGAGCTCACTGCGGGTGAGCGACGTGCAAAGAGCACGAGGGAGGAGAAGCGAGCGGGGCGGCTGCCGGCGGAGGAGCAGAGCGGCGCGAGGGGACGGGCGAGACGGGGGCCGCTGAGGGAAGGAGGGGAAGCCGCGAAGCGCGCGGCTCCGGCTGGCGGGCGGGCGGGCGCGCGCGCTCCCTCTCCTCTTACCAGCGGCTGCTCGGCCTCCTCCCTCGGCCTCCATCACTTCCTCTGAGGCGGGCTCCCAGCACGCGGCCCGCCCTCGCCCCGGCCGGGGGTGGCGGTGCGGCCCCGTCCCTCAGTGCGGGCGGGGAAACAAAGGGACCGAGAGGGAGGGTGGCCTGAGGAGGAGCAGGCAGGAGAGGTTCCGGCTGCAGCCCCAGGGCCGAGCGAGCGGCCCCCGAGCTCCCCTCGGCCAGCAGCGAAGCTCGCTTCTTCCCTTAACAGCAACGAAACAGATCAGCATACCTCTGCGCTTAGCTTTGGGGGAGTATCGCTGCTTCAGTCCATTTGAAGCGACATTTCAGAGTTCTTCAGGCGGCTCGCGCTGCTGTTGCACGCTCTATTCCTGCCAGAGCTGTAAGAGAAAACTCCACGTGGTTGATCTTCCCTTCAAACGTTTGTAAAAACGTACTCAAGCAGACCTGTGTTTTCTTTCCTCGATAAGACAAAGCGGTATTGCCCTCCGCTGTGGGACAAGAGCAACCTCGGCGCTGACGCTCAGTCACACAGCCACTGTGCAGCACATCAGTGCATTTCAGTGCATGCCTGTGAGCGCTCGAAGCCTTGCACCTTCCTCCATTCCCTCAGTATCACACACGTCACTCAGCCCAAAGGTTTCACCGTCATCTTGAAAATGATGAAACCTGGCCAGCTAAGTCTTGTCAGCTGGGTTTTGTTTATAACCAGGAGTGGTAAACATATTACCATTAAGCCCAAGGAATCTGTTGGTCCTACTTAAGTATTTTGCATACTATCTCATAAATAATTACTTAAATCCTGCATGTGCTCTGTGGATGATGCCTGAACAAAAGAGACCCACTGATGGAAAGTTACACTCTGCACTGCTGAGGTCCTTTTTCTCTGTGTTAAACTATAGCAGACAATTAAAAAAAAAAAACTGTTTATGCACAGGAGCTGAATTTTGCTAATATTACAAGAACAGCACAACTAAACGATAGCAGCCACCCAACAGGTTGACTACATTAAGATTATATACAATTTCAGGGTTTCCATTGGTGCTAAGCACAAGGCATGCACCGATAGAACAAACTGCAGAAGAACTTCCATAAACAAGGCAACGCTGTTCAAAAACAAATGTGAGTGAAATTGCTATAACATTTTTCCATTTCCCATTTCTACTGAGTTTGTTTCTCCTTCATGGGCACTGACCCATAGAGAACAGCAAGCTTTACACCAAAATGTTCTTCTCCTCTGTTTTTGTGACACTGTATTCCATCTAAGAGTGATAACCAGCATTTTCATAGTTGAGTTGCTTCCATTTCTTCTTCACTTCAAGATGAACACCATGTCAATCATATCTGTATGCAGCTAGAAAAAAAAACACCAGTATTGAGCTGAGTCAGCTGTGTCTGTGATCTGCTCTCAAATATCCAGGGCTTGTTTTCTTAATTGTGGATGAGGAAACAAACTGGCACACACCTCAAATACCCATATGCTGCAAACACATAAACTGCATGAACACATCTTGATTGACCTAGGAAAAAGAAAGACAGTGGAATTGTAAATGCAATTCACTGATGGGAGTGGTAAATTTTACCTTATTTAAAGCTGCAGTTTCCCATTTGGTTTACTGGCTGCTCCTTCAGCCTCAGTGGCTAGTAAAAGTCAGTTCTGCAAGCTCTATTAGCCAGGGAGAGACAGGGGTGATAGAATCAGTGTCATTTTATCAAAAAGAATCCACAAATTACTCTCAGTTTAGGAGGATTCAAAGGACAGAAGCAGCTTGTAACTCCAAACATTGCTCGGCCACCAGCCAATCCAGGAGAGTTCTTCAGGGATTTTCTCTCTTAGGATCTCATAATTACCATCTCTCTTGAGAATGCACAGCAACTTTCTATTCTTAGTTTATTTCTCTCCTCTCTCTCACACACATGCACATACTTCCTACTCAAAACAAGACTCAGCAAAACCCTCTGCCCACATAGTTCTAATTCCCAAGAGGACTTTCATATGCTTTTGTTTTGGGCAGTGACAATGTGCATATGTTTTGATTTCAGGCCCCCTATTGGTTTTTGCACTTCAGTTTAATGAAGACACACCAGCTATTAAACTCACTGCCTCAAGATTTCCTTTGACATTTTAATTTGGACTGAAGTTTTGCTATGTGTTGTCCATTCAGTCGTGCCAAGTAAATATTTTGCTTTAGCAAATACATATTTTCCTGTTAATGTTTATTTTTAAAGTGTAAGGAGCTTGGGGAGTTTAATAAATAATGTAAGATAAAGCTGAAGATGAGTGAACGAGGTAAGTGCTGTGAGGGAGCACAGGAAAGTTACCTCTATGTATTTATCGATAATAAGAAACTAACCCTAACACTGAATGGAGTGGAAATAGAGGTACGTGTTTTTAGCTCAGTAGTTCTTCACGATTGAAGAGAATTACAGCAGTGACAAGAATACAGTATCCACAGGCATACACTAAAAGTGACCCAATTAGTTTTGCTTACTTGTATATATACAGTTTTCTGATGCAAAGTATTGCTGGATATTTTATTGCTGGACATTTTGCAAAAAGTTTCTTGCAGCCTTTTCTGTTCTTGAGGTAACCTGCTGCCTTTAATATGCAGGTGTAACAATTTGTTTTGAAAGTTCCATGGGACAGAAATCATTCCTCTGGTGTGAATCCCAACCCATCCCAGCTTTATGAAAACACTTTCTTCATCCAATAGAAATCTGCATGCTTCAGAACGGTTTGAATCAAAAAATAGATGCCCCAGATGAGGAAGTTTTCCACAGATGCATGAATGCTGATACCACTGTTTGGAACTGCAAGTCGATGAGATTTCACCTTTTGGAGCATGGATTCAAATTCCAACATTGTGGTTGTGACTGGTAAGATTTTTGTTTTTATTTTCTTCTCCTTTTAGCTAGAGATGGTATGAATACATGCTTGATCTCTGTCATAAACAGTTCCCTGGAGGGAAAAACAGTAGCAAACGGTCATACTTACAATTCCAAATAGAAAATAACTTACTGCTGTGCCTTCTTAAGATACATGTCAGCGGAAACAAACTGCAGCATGCCCTCTTTACTGCCATCCAGTTTGGTTTGTTGCTCATTCTCTCCATGTTTTAATCTTTGTTGACATTCTCTCTGATCCAAACCACGTAGCTCAAGGCAGTGCAGGCTAGTATTAGATAAAGCTTACCCAAAAGGAGCTCTGAAGCAGCAAAACCAGGTTGCATCACAATGTCACGTAGTCAGTGTCCAGAATTAGAACCACACATGGCAAGTTTCAGGGTCTCAGTGTCACGGCAAGGTAAGAGAAATTTGAACAGTAGATGCTGCCTCACCACTGCTGAACTACACCATTAACTTTAAATATATCAAAAGAACATGTGTGAATGTGCAGCATAAGGGACAGAATTTGTTCTTTTTCTTGCTGGCTGATTTACAGTGGCAGTGCCACCAGCTAGAGACTACTAGCTTTAAAAGGTTAAAGCTCCTAAGGAACGCTGCGACTCGCTGTCCCTCTCATTGCCACTGGCTCATCCAAAGGCAGTCATTACACATATCTTGACATGCGAGTCGCAGGATAATTTTCCACTGTAGGTCAACCGAGGACACAGGAACGAGGTTGAAGCTACATCAAAGAGATTTGCATCTTGCTGTTTTCAATTAAACACTTTTTTTTTTTTTTTTTTTTTTAATAGCTCCAAGATGAGCAGAACTGGTTTGGCTTGCTCCAAAAACCTGCAGTTGAAATGAATGGGAGTGCAGGAGAGAGCAAGAGGTATTTGCTAACCTCTTAAAAGGCTGACAGCCTGGTTCTCCCTATGATATTTATAGCACGTACCCTTGATGGGCACACTTCTTAGCACCTTGTTAGGTTTTTTTCTCCCCTTACATCGCCATTTAGGTACAGAAATATACTTGTTCAAATGCTTTTAGTCTAGTGTGTCCCATTAGAGACACAGGTGCATCTTCAAGCTATTACAGAGATTATCACAGCATGCCTCTGTCACATTCTCACCTGCTCATAATATAAACCTGCTGGCAGTGAGCCCAGTTTACTATATAGTGCCTAATAATATTCAACCTGTTAGCTCTTGAAGTTTTTGCAGGAATTTCAGTACTGTAAAACTCTCCTACATTTATTTTGTTACATAGAATAATTTATCCCAAGCAGTGGATTCTTACAGCCACAGCTGGGATGCATGAATTCAACTCCAGATTACTTAATAGCGTTGTTAGAACTCTGCACGCATGCAGGTACCCCAACATGCACAACAACTGCAGCTTCAAAATGGGGTGACTGTCTCCCTAATTTCACTCTGTAAATCTAGCCAGAGAGATTTTTTTCTTCACTATCAATGTGAAATGAGTGCTGCTTCCCAATCCCAGGGAAATCATTGCAGCAATACAACTACCACCAGGCTTTGCATCATATTAAAGAGAAAAGATCAAGCAGTTATTAAACAAGTATCAGCAAATTAAGAAATGCTTAAAATATATCATTAATTATTAAAGCTGTTGTAAAGTTTAATAATGTAAGTTCAACTATTCCCATATACAAGTAACTTTCAATGTGTAAAGGAGTAACCATACACTGTCAGTATTTATTTGTCCATTTGTGGATTTTTAAATATTTAAAGTGTAAAGCACTACAACCATTTCACAGACCAGTTTTCCTGCTGCCCAGTGTCTAAGACTTTCCAACACACTGGACTGAGAGCAGTAATTGAGATTAATAAAGGCGGTGGGAGCTTTCCACCAAACTTTTAGATGACAAAATGCCCATCCAAATCAAACCAATTTTTGTCTTCTTGTTAAATAAAAAAGTAGCTCACAAAAGGAATTGTAAAACTAAATGAAATCAAGTTTTACTCTTTCAGACGTGTACTTTCATCTTCCTGAGCTCTCGACAGTAAGAAAGGTACAATGACAGCGACCTGGGATTGTTGACACCAGTCAATTTAATCTAACATTTCTGTGGCTAATGATATTCTCCCCAAATCATCACTTACATGAACGGGGCTCTTTTGGCTCCAAAACATTTAGCAGCTTCAGTTAAGTTTACCTCATAAGGCTTGTAGGATTAGCTACTATGTCAGCACATCTCAAAAAGTGCTGACCCTTCCCTTGAATGTCATAGAGGCTAAATAATATATTAAATAAAAAAATCAACCTCTGTAACAAAAAATATTAAAGTACAAACATGTGATTATATACCTGTTGTCAGCTAATCTAACCTTGCAGAGCAAGGATAAGTTAAAAGCACATTCTTTCCTTTTCAGGTTTTGGTCCCTTTAGACAATACCTGGTTAATTCTAGCTGGGAAGCCGTGAAGGTAAGCAGGAAAAAAAAAAGGGAGGGAGGTGTTTTATTTTGTGGAGATCCACAGACAATCTGTTTCCGGGCTTTCCATTCCTTCCTAGACAGTTATTTTTCTTACTAAACAGAATCGCAGCCTTTGGAACAGACACAGAGGGAAGAAAATAATGAAGAAGTGAACATGATTGGCAAGGGTTTTTTTCAGAACACTTTTAGAAGTCTAACGGACGTTTGTTCCTTGTCTGCAGTCAGTGCATGTGCCATGAGTTATCTCTGCCTTCTGTAAACACGCCGTGATTCATTTTATCGCGCCTATGTGAGGTGATTTCCTTCTTATCCACTATGAAGCTGTTACTGCCTACTTCAGGAACACAGGATGTAAGCAGGTCTATTCTAAGTACGTTTTCACATCTTAGCTTTGCTTTCCACTTTCAAAAGACAGCAAAGTCTGCAGTTAACACTGAAAGCAAGATCATTCAGATTTCTCCCCAATCCAGACACCTGGATTCTATCAGTAGCTGCAGCATGTCTAAGATGGAGTCCTGAATGTTCCTGATTATTTCCTAAATATGTGCATTAGAACAAATTTAGGGTGGTGGTTATATAAAAACATTGTTTGCATCCCTGGCTTTCAGCGTAAACTTTTCAGTTACAGTTATTCTCAAATAAGAATGTGTGACTTCACATTGAGTAGCCAATATCAAAAATTTCCACAAATAAATGATTTCCCAGAACACAATTATTCTTTTTTTAAATTGTGTGTATCTTAAGAGCTGTGCATAACTTCTATATTTAAATATGCCTTACAAAACAAACACCCACCCCTAGTAGATAAGAATTGTATGCTACAAGGTGATAATTTACTAGTTTGATACTTTAATATTGTAGCTCAATTTAAAGTGTGAAAGGTCATAATATACATACTTCATCATTAGGAACAACTACAGAGATTTGCCGAGCCTATGTACAAATCTAAGGTCTAAGCTTTGACCCTAGATCTCCCGGCACAGACAATGGCCATTCCTTGGGTTCCATTACTTTCTTCAAGTGTTTATGAGCAGAGTTATTGTGAAAGGGTCTTTCACACAAGTTTTTATCAATCTTAAGTAGAAAGAAGGTTAGCAATGAAATCTGAAACTAGCTGGAGAACAACCAAGGTAGTAAAAACTAATTGGAATGTTGGTGAAGCATATGCAACACAACAGATAATATTGGTAAAATGGAAAGTTAGACATACAAAACAAACTGAGGAGATTATGGTCTACTAGAGGAAATGGAATAAGCCCATAATAATTAACTTTAATTGATCTGGACATTGGAATCAAAAAAACAGCTGTAAGATAATGCTAGTAGTGATAGAAAGACTGTGACCTTACAGGACTGTAACTGTATTACAATTTCAGGTGACAGCTTCTGAGGATCTGTCTTGAAAATGAAGTGCAGACAAGTCAAGAGATGATGAATAAATAAACAAGGAACTAGCAAATATTTCCAAAGACCAAGGCTTCTAGCTTTGCTGAACAGGGAGCGCCAAGTGTGAGCTGCTGTTTGGAAAAATGTATCCATTATCTACCCTAAGTCATGAGGGATGTCATCCCTGTGGGCTGATAAGAAAGGAAAAAAAAAAAACAAAGCACTTGTGTTCTACCTTTCCACTTTCTAGTCATCACAGAACACCTATAAATTATCACAGCTCCAACTTGAGGTGATTTAAACCACAAATATTTGTCAGTTGACAATATTCTTGCTCATTATTTCCTGGGTCCCATTGGCTCTAATTTTGGATGCAATATCACCCACTTCCCAGTGAAACCATGTTATTTATCTGCAAGCAAAACAGCCCAACACCAAAATACACTGATGAGTCTTCTGTAACAATGGCATGCACTTGCTATGCCAGGAAGTTATATAACATGGACTGCAGCAGTCTATAATGAAACAGATGTCGGTTCTTGTGTATAGAGTACAAACCCATTTCTCTCTGATGTGACACCCTCTGTGAGGAATTAATTTGTATTCATACTGGCCATGCTGCTTTGGTTTCCCATTCCCTGGCAAAGGTGGGTAATCCAGACAACTCATGGAAATTTGTTACAAATCTGGAAGTACTTGGAATTTCGATAGGCTTTTTGATACTAAATAGCAATCTCATGGTATTGTTCCATTAGCCTTGTTCATATGAGCCCAATGGTCTTGAGAAAGCTTATGCACATATATTCAAGACAGCAAAATGTAGAATTTACATCTGAAAGTAATCCTAACTTGGCTTGGAGTTACTGCATGGATCACTAAAGTGACATAAAGCCCTCCTGCGGAGTCTCTTTCCTGAGAATCATGCAAGAGTGCACTCGAAGTACTGAGCAGCCACACCACAGCTACATACTAAACATGATTACTAAGGCTTAATTGTTGCATAGTATTACCCAGAGCTATCCTAATTACTACCTCAGGCTGAGCTGCACTCTTATCAAAAGCCACGGCAGTCTCAGAGATGCTGCAGAGCTGCAGCACTGACATTTATCATCTCAAGTAAGAGCACATCCCAGGAGAGTCCTCACATGCAGAACATATCAATTCCTGTAGAAGTGCATGTATTGGGAGTCTCAGGTTATAATTCTCAAAGCGTAGCCTTCCCTCTATGCTTCTTGGGATGGGGCCTTGCCAAAGAGCAATGCCTTCACTTCTGTGCGCAGCACTCACTCTTATGTGCATTTGCTTCCTTAAGATCTCTGTTGCCACCTTCACTGTAAGATGCTCTTTCACTCTTCGGCTTGCTGATAGGATCAGCAATTTTCCTACAGCTTATTTTTTGCTGGAAGAAAGATCAAAGATCAATCCAGTGCGCACACATCTCGTTCCATGAGTAATATCCCTTTTATACCCTTACTGGTCACTCAAAAAATTAGCATGATGTTGTTTCTCTTACAAACTAACCATGTAGTCCCTCACAGTCAGCAGAAAACCTGATTTCTCTGACGTCCTCAGGAACCAGATGATAAATATTAAGACTTTACAGATCACTGTTAGTTTAGGAAGAGCATTTGTTCTGAGTTCTTAGATCTCTTATTGATACTATGCAGCAGTGCACTCTTTTGCATTTCCTCTTTTAGCACCCATCAGCATCGCTATGGATCCGTCATTCCTTAGCAAACTCTCCTTGAGTGTTTAGGAAAAGGGATAATCAGAAGAGTCAGAAAGTACCAGCAAACCTGTCAATTCAGAGTTATTGAGGAAAACTTCAGGGCCTTTACAGACATTGTCACATGGCCCAACATAGTTGCCTAGCACTAGAAAGACAGATTCTCTTTTGGAAACCTGCCTCACTCAGTTTTTCATGGTTCTCACAACTGCACTCACCTGAAATACCCTCCTGATATATGCATGAAAGCTCCACCAGCACCTCTTAACTCTTGAAATGCAGAACATTCTCTCTGGAGAAAAACAACACTGAGAGTTAACACCACATTTGCAGACAGATCACACAGAGTTGTTATGATGTGTTCTTCAGAACCACGTGGGACCCTCAGAATCTCAGATCTCCTGAGCCATTTATTCCATCTTACAGACCAATGGTCCCACCTAACACCCCTGATCCAACTCCATTGCTATATATTTCCTCCAGAAGCCTACGTCTGGCACTTGGCAGCTAAATATCCTATCAGAGCAACCTACCATCAAGGTCGAATTCCCCAGTTAGTAGGGCACAAGTGTAAGCTGAGTGACAGCATTCATAGCAATTAAACTGTTAGTGCAAACAACAGGTCACATTTCCAACTGCTTCTGAGAACTACGTCTGATATCAGGAGACAAGGATCAGACCTCTGCTCGCAGTTTTTCATTCTGCTGCTGACCATGTGGTCTTTGGAAATGTGTCATTTAATCTCTCTCCCTCTCTGCTTTGGTTTCATCATCTGTGAAAATAAGACGTTGCTATTTAGTTCTTTCATTTGTGTTCTGGAACTTTCTTATATCTCTAACACGTTAAAGAGCTATCTACAGGATTAAAAGGAAAAAAAGACTTTGCATCAACCACTTTCTGAATGAGGTGCACAAAATTAACACATGCAACCGACTTCCCCACTCGCTAACGTCCTGGCAACCCAAAACTGTGAAAACTCAAAGAAGATCTGTGAAATGTTCTGGAGCTTTCTAAAAGTTTAGGTTGTTTGTCACACTCAGTGTAACACACAACCACCGCTTCTGACCTCAGCTGCTCTGTGCAGATCGTTTCTCTTTGGAGAGGGCTATGCATGGGCATGAGCCAGAACTCCAATGAGCTGTGGTTGTGATCACAACTCACCAACAACTCCAGGTTGTCAACTGATAATACTGGATTCTATTTTCCTTTTAGGAAGACTTTCCAACAGCAACAACTTTGTTTTCTTTTGAACCACTTTTCCCACAAAAAAATAAAAAATAAAAAAAAAAATAAAAAATAAAAAATAAAAAGCAGTTCTCCATAGGTTCCATAGTCTCTCAGTGTTTTCTTTGCTGTCTCAGCTACAGCAGACAGGCTGTTTACTGAATTGATTCACCAGTGTGGGATTCAGCGTTCCTTCTCATCTTCAGATTCTCACATTAAATGTAAAAATCGTTTTGATTATGGCTGAGACAAGGAACAACCTTTTTTTTTGTTCTGTTTGCTCAACATGTGGTGTAATGGAGTGTAAGTCCATGCTCAGGATTCCTGAATAACAAAATAATCATATTATTGACAACGTGCTATAATTCCTTAGGACAGAACCAACCATCATCCTTTGACACAAATTCCCAACCCTGGGCTACTGGCCAGCTTCTGATTTTGTCCTGCACAAAAGGAATTTCTGCATTTCTCTACGACAGAGAGCGACAAGAACCTCAATCCAGAAGCACAAGGAAAGAATAGCTTACAATAGTTTATACAACTTTGGGCCTTCTGATTCTAAACTTGTGGATAGCCAAGCACTTTAAGTCCTATAGTTAAAAAGGAAGAATCTCATTAAATGTTAAAATTAAAAATGTTTGAGAAAATAAAATGCTAATTGTGAACCAGCTGGGGTTTTCTTTTTTGGACGCTAAGACACAGTACAGCATTCTTAAGCAAGATGATGCAATGGCCTCTCAAAGACTGTCAGCGCCCAGAGGAAAAAAAGGCTGGCAGTGTTCTCTAAATGTGTTTACTTCCCTGCAGGCATTGTTTCCTTGCTTGTGTCAAATAGTTTATTGAGCACAGCTAATCAATGTTTCCGCTGACAAGAGAATTGGAACAGTTTATATAGGAAGCCAGTGTTGAAGGGCAAATTTCCCAGTAAACTCAGCCCCATGCACGCAAATATCCTTGGTAAGAAAGGAAAGCTTAAGGAAACAATGACATTGAAAAAGTTACAAGTTTCTGGGACTATCAAATACTGTTGCTGGTGACTTCTTGCCCATGCCCTCCATAGAAATTCAGAAAATTTGTACACTTTTTTGTAGTGGTCTACTAAGATGTAACAGGGATTTTCAACCACCATTTCGCTTCACTGGGACAAAGCTTTCTGTCTCAGTTGTATTCTTTCTGCATCCTGCCACTGCAGTGTTTACGTTCTTCATAAAGTCTTATGGCTTCTTCATTAGCCCTGTTCCACTGACAAAATAACTTAAGGCATCACCACATGATGCTCATCCTTGACTCCTACCAAGACCATCTTGCACACATCTAGCCAACCTGCTGTTTTAAAGGATGCCTTTTTTTATTTTTTTTTCTTTTATCTCAGTCCTGGGCAATAATTTTTGTTTCCTTCGGGAAAAGGCCCCATGCAGAACTTCAACTCAATAACAAAGAAGTAACATTCCAACAAATAACACTTCCTTCTTTCATAGGGAAACACATTCTAGATCAAAAGGAAATGAATTCCTATCTCAACATGCTACTGTGCTGACACTCACTTTGAGCAAGGGTTTTCAGAAGCAAGTTCAAGACAGCAGGTGGAATGTTATCCAAGGGACATCTGATGAGAATTCTCTCTCATTTGTGTCTCTCCAGAAGCTCAGGTTTATCTACTTTGTCTTTCAGAGGAACAGCTTACCTATATCAAAGCCTACTGGATGTGGGTCTTTTCTGAGAAATTCTGTATTTCATGGTTCCCCATGGGCCAGTTCACATCAGGATTGCACAAACCACACACTGGAGGCTGAGCACCCTTTTGGAAAATATAACCATGGCTCAACACGGATGTGACATTAAGAAATTCTTTTGTACAGCTGACTTTCCTTTAATAAAAACGGAGAGCTGTCATCAGAACTGGGTCTCGCTGCAGAGCAAGGAACAATAGGGCTACGCAGTGATACACTGCTTTCCGTATCTGCTCAGTTGAATCAGCCTGATTTCTACGTCCCACTGAAAAACCCACTGCTCTTACACATCCATCACAGTTGTTGGCTTGTTTTTTGTATCTATAGGAGCTGTCCAAGAGAGGCCTTGGAAAAAACATTGATCTTCGTATCATGCAGCTACCAGTGGTTTACCAAAAAGCAAAGGAACAAATCTTCAGGATATGGACAACTCTTCATCCAATAGTGAGTAGTCACAACGTTGGGCAATTTCCCCCTTCATTTCTAAATAACATTTTCGGTAAATCTTTAGAAAGATCTCCAAAAGATTATTGCACAATGTGTACCAGGCAGCTCTGGACAGTGACTGTACAAACGGTGATGAAGGCTCCAAACAACTTTGGAGCACAAATTAATTAGCATGCCACTTTAATCCTGTGCCACGTAAACAGTATAACTGCATGCAGAACAAAGAAAAATACATCTACCTACATAAATGGTAGGGAAAAAAAGGAGAAAAAAATTTCAGCTTTGAAGTGTGGAGTTGAGTAGACACAACAACAACGAAAAACAAAAAAACCACAATTTGGTTCTCATTTATAATCTCTTATCAAAGTTATCTTGAAGCATGAGCTACAGCAAGGCTTCCCACCTTGAAGACAGTATTTCACATAATGCTTGGCACTCCTGCATTACATGTTTTCAAAAAACAGGTCTCATTTTTAATTTCCTGTTATTCACTCTGGTGGGAAAAAACAGCTTGCTGTTCACGTTGGGCTGGCTTCATCCACCAAAGCAATCATCATCCTTGAGCAGTGTGGGAAGAACAAAGGCTATGAAGAGATGGATGCTTGTGGTTTTCACCCAGAAGGTGGCTGCTGCATGCTAGATGGTCCGGAAAAGATTGAATCTACAATTAACCTGAAGACTATCTGGAAAAATATTTCAGTGGAAGGAATTGATATCATCTTTTCCAGAGATGCGGGAAGGTAAATATTGTGTATCAAGGCCTCAAAGTAAAAGCAGAAGTAATTCAATCAGCTCACTTAACCTTGAAGAGTCTCTGCAATGAATTCTCCTCTCACCAAAATCACTTTGAAGTGAAGACTTCCAAGTGTCACAAGTATAAAATGAGGACAAAGTTAAATTTTATGTAGAGAAGCCTTCATGGCAAACAACAGTCAGTAGATAGTTTTCCATGGACTGCAAAAGAAACAAGTTTCAACATAGCACACTGCGATGAGCAACCCCAGTAAACCTGTGCTTTCTGAGTCTAAAAGCAAAACTGACTAGTGGGAGATTTTAATCTGTTTTTCCCAACTGGGAGAGATACAAAATGTAAATACACACACTGAGGAACAGAGCAATTATCGGTACCTTCAGAACAGTATCTGTGATCTCACTGTAGGATTCAAATTTTCTTCAGTTAAAAGGAAAACAAAACAAAGTGTAAGTTGTTTTTTTATATATAGCTGATCTCATCCTGTGCTTTTAGGATATGGATCTGCGAGCTAAAAGGTTAAGGTGATAAACAACAACAAAAAAGGTTGGCGGTGAGCCTGTATGACCTCCACAAAGAAATTTACTGATGTGCTGTAATGGTACGGCTGCAGTGCTGGGGGGCTGCATTAGCTTTCTCATCTGACTTAGCTTACAGAAACCTAGAAGAGAATGCATGTCTTATGATTTATTTATTTCTATTATCATTTCTTAAGTTGCTTCTGAGTGTCTGAGACAGTAACAATCAGATATGGAATATCTGTTTCTCAGACCAGTTTTATTTCAGCATTCCCTTTACTCAGCAAGCAAATACGTTTTTAACATTTTTGTGAACCAGATCTGGTTTGGCTACCTAATGAATATTTAAATTTAATCAAAGTTTACTGTTCCTTAATTCGGGCTTCTGTTTCTGTTTTGTCCGTTGCATTTCAGGTACATCTGTGATTACACCTATTACACTTCCCTGTATTACGGCGCTGGAAGAGCAGCTTTCATCCATGTGCCTCCATTATCAAAGTCGGTAACAGCAGACTCTCTAGGAAAAGCATTACAGACAATTATCTTAGAAATGTTAAAACAGTGTGGGGAGCAGACAGAGTAAGATGGAACAGAAGGAAAAAGGAGGTTTCTTAAAATGGAATTTCTTATCTCTTAGAAGTAGCAAATCTAATGATTATTTAAAGCCCTTAAAAATTTTATTCCAAGTTATTTTCAGGGAAATCTCCTTACAAAAGCCAAACAACTGTTTCCCTCTCTGCTATAAAAATCTTGAGGGGAAGAAAAAAAAAAAAAACACAAAAAGTGACAGTTTGTAACACTAAGATTGCTTCAGATTTACCAAAGTGCAAAAAACAGGACTTAAAAATGGTTACGTATTTCCTAAAATCTTTTAAAAGCATGTTTTTAAAAAATCTAATTAAAACAAAACAAAGCAGAGCGAATGTCAAAAGATGTTACTGCAGACTTGTTGAATCAAGATCCATTCTTACGTCCGTAAGGACATTCAGCACTGATACCACAAAGTTCCCCAAGTCCCTGTTCAAGTGCAGTGACACGGGCTCATCTAACACAAGCTGCCCATATATAAACTTTAAATATGAGGGAAAAATAAAACACAGGTAGAGATCCTGTTATTTTGAAGGTTTTTTTCAGTTTCTCTTTGAGACCTGCTGTACGTGCCGGCTTTCACAGACAAAACAGCCTACAGATCTGGGGTGATTAATACAAAAAAAGCTGGAAGCTGGCAGACACTGTAAAGCTGTTTGAGTTTCAACTGCCTGAAAACACCCTTTCCCCAAATTCTCAGCATACGTCCCAGAGGAAAACACTGCTGTCCTTCCACAAAGCACAGCACAAAGACAACAGCCTTTCAGTACAATGGGTCACGCTATGCAGGGATTTGTACATCAAAATCAACAAGCCAACTTGTCCCAAGAAAGGCGAGCAGTGAAGCACCGCGCAGTGGAATGTCACGGCACATTATCTTTCTTACAAAACAGGAACCAAATGAGATCCCAACTTATAAAGCTTGGGATCAGACACTGACAGATCACTTCTGAGCTTCTCCCCTGCCAAGCCAGGCTCCTCGGTGTCTCAGACATGGCTATATGCAGAAGCACTGCTCTATTAAGGCTGGGCAAGACAGAGGTTTACAGCGTGTCCTCTTTAGCTCACAGGGAACGTCAATGCACACAGTTTTGCCTGTACCATGACAGACAATTATGACATAAAACCAGCAAGTATTTTTCAAAAACAATCACCGGAACAGAAGAGCAGCATCTTGACGTGGACACCTGGGATTTTTCTAAGGGAAAAGAAAGCTCATTGCTCTAGTGTTGTGTCAGTGAAAAGGACAAGAGACAAGGACAGCCTAATGGCACAGACACCTGAACAAGCTCTGGGCCACCACTGTGCCTCAGTCAAGACTTTTATGACAAGACTCAGAGAAATTGTAAATGCCAAGATACTGCTAGCTTTCTTGTCGCTATTTTTCTAACAACATTTGCAGAAAACTGATAACTTTGTACTGGATGGCCGAATGCCTCATGTATGCATTGCTGTAACAGCAAACGAAAGGATTTCCTTCAAATAAATAAAGAAAAAGACTTTCCTTATTCAAATGAATCAAGTCCCGCTGACAAATGGTCCAAAGGTTGGTGTCACTGGATGACAATACTTCTGACTTCAACACAGCATAATGGCAGCACTGACCTCTACGAAGATCGTTTTCAGAGTTGCTCAACTAAATGCAGCCAGAAGTGCAGAAGAAAAAGTCTTGAGTCTTCTGAGCTGCACTTGCTTTGCAATGAAGAACAACAAATTCAAAAGCAGACAAATGCATACAGAATTCTTTTATTTAACTTAAATCAGGTAGTACTGAAACTACTAGAAAAAAGCAGAGTAAGAGAAACTAATGGAGCCTTAGCTTCAGCCATTCAAAATAGACAAAGTTTCTTCTTTTCATAATGTAAAGAATCCCGAGTATATCGCAATAACAGGAATAAATTCTTACAACAGAATATACAAAAACATTTTGAATTTTTTTTTTTTATCTACTGATTCATTTTAATATAAACACAGGAATTTCTTTAGGAATAATTTATACACAGCAAGTCTTTTTTATGTAATAAATTGGCCATGTTATTGTTGAATTTTCTCTTAAAAAAATCTAAACAAGAAAACTCAGAAAATGTCGTATTTGCAACTGCATCCATTCCTTAGCACTTTCTAGTTTTGTTTTTGTCCCAGAGGTAGACAAACTCTGGCCAATCCTTTCATCTCAAACCTCACTGGTTTAGAAAACAGAAGAGCTGATCGTTAAATAGCATCTAAATCATCGTAACGCTTCAGAAATGCAGTTAGTCAGACTTCAGGGGGAAACAGGGATCTTCAGTATTCTTAAATAAAAATAAATAGGGACCCCGCTTTGCTTATTTCAACAAAGCTTCAAATGGTAATGCTTCAGCATCTTTAGAGGCTGCATACAAACTTTTAAAGTGATAAGAAATATGCAAATAGTTCTTCAATTGTAATTACAAAAACTGCCTTCCCGCTTTCTCTTATGCAGTCATTTCCTTCAAACCACCTGGCACCCATAAAACAGGTACTGAACAGCACAAGTGAGACTGTGTAGCAGCAAAACCCATTCTGTTTTCCCAACCAGTGAGGTTCTTGCAATCCGTTAAGTTCACTGCACTAGACAGCAAAGTGAAATGACCAGTTAAGATGATCCCACCCCAACTAGAGGGCTCTGGAAGACCAGGATGCTGAAGATACAGAACATTTCCTCAACTTCTTTACTCGTTCTCTATGTACTGAGACACAAAGCTTGGGCAGGTAGTGGGAGAGGGATGAGCCTTGAATTGGACGAGTTAGCGATCCTTTTTGGCATATTGTAAAGCTAGCTAGTAAACTGGTACCATCAAAGAAAACCGATCTCATACAGACACACGCACACACAGACAGAAAAAGTGCCCTTAAATTATATTTTAGGCATTAATAAACTACAAACATTTTATAAAATTATTCTATGTACTTACAAAATGCAATGAAACATTTAGTTAGTTCTTGTAAACCAGATCTTCGTCAACTGACTACCCGTAATCTACTGGACTTAAAGCCCTATTGAAAATGCTAATGGATTACTAATCAACAGAACGCGCACAAAAAAGGTGGACACGCACACATACGCACGCACACAACTGGTGATAATCTGGTACTTGCAAAACAGACCAACAGAAGGTTGAGGCTGACTCATACAGACCAATGCCACAACCACTGAACTCCTGTTACGAGTTTACCGCTTCAGCTGGAAAGTCCGGTTTATTTACAAGTACCAATGATCAGAATGGTGACACCTGAGCTCTGCTGCTGCCCCACGCACACCAAGCTCAGGAAACAACTACAAGCTTCTGCCAAGCCCTGTGTCTTCATAAACATCCTTTTCCATACCTTTTGTTTTCAGATGTCTCCATATAAGCACTTCTCAGTTCTGATTTACCTGGCTGCACTCCGTGACAGAGACTGCTTACTGCCTCTGAGCAGCCAGTTTCCTGAACTGAGGCAATCTTTATGCCCTCCTGCCTATTTACAGTTCTGTATCTTCAGCACCTCTGGCCACTACTGTTATTTTCTACACACCATTCTTAAATTCTTGTCTGCACAACTACTCATGGGTTAAGTTGCAATATCTGGCTTTTATCACTGGTTAGTAAGGAGTGGACCCCTTGCACCTTCCTCCGCTGTTGTTTAGCCCAGTGATTAAATACACCGTTGACAAACAAAATAAGAACAACAGGAAACAAGTGTTACTTGCACTAGTGGAATGAATAGGATTCAAATACATATATATCTATATTACAGACATACACACGCGGATATCTATGTCCATATAGATATATACTTATGGAGTTACACCAACAACAGGAGTGTTGTTCGCTTAGACTCAGATTGTACGGAACAACCCTCGGCAGTTCCCAGAGGACCTGACAGCGGTTCCGCCTGGTGACCAGTCGGTCCTGGGCAAACTGGGCTTCACTTGTTTTTAAAGACCAACAGGAGCATCAGTGCGAACATCTCTAGAATCATACATCACTTAGAACCAGCTTTAAAGAACAGAGGCGTCACGCTGAGAAAGACCTGGTGAACACAGGCTGGCCTCGAACTTCCAATCACGCTTGGCTCCTGTGTCCAACTCATCTCTCGCTCAAAAGCGCTTCTTAGTACCAAGCAGCTGACACTTCTGTGCTTACACAGGAGCCGCCTTCCTTTGCAACCAAACCACCTTCTGTGCCACTGAGAAGCTTTTAAATGTGAGGCAGGTGAGAACAATGGCCCGAGTGCTGAAATCAAAGCCTGCCCCTGCAGTGATGCCAGCTTGTTATTCTACTGCATCAAAACAGCTTGGTAATGTTTGTCAAAACGCTGGGTTTTGGGGCTGGGTGGGCTTTTGTTTTTAATTTGTAAGGAAACTGGATTACTTGAACTTTATTCAAACACAGTCGAAGTTCTGAATAAATTTACCATACCAGACAAGCCAGTGGTCTCAGGAAAGAACAACATTACAAACCATATTATGACTCTATCAAGCCAACATTAATTCTCAGTTGTTCACATGCATAAACAACTTGATTTACTGTCCAAGGGAAGTCTGCATGAAAAGCCCATGTGAATAAAGCTATTCAAAATGCACAAAACACAACAAAAAACGCTATGGAAACAAACAGAACAAAAAAGTAATTAAGCCTGAATTGCAAACACAGAACACAATGGTATCATGAAGGTGGTTTGGTCCAGGAGAGCTGACTGTCATCACACGTGCGTACTTTTAGTCCCGTGACTGTTTTCTATTGAAGTGCTTTTTGAAATGTCTATCACAATGGGTGCTACGTCATTAGTGTTTCTTCCTAACACATTTTTAAACCACCTACATCAAATTACAAAAACCAATAACTTGGACAGTTTTAACAAAACCCTCCTAGCCAGCTGAAAGATCTGAGGATCTCCAGTTGTGGTAATCAATATGTGCAAGTGAGGGGAACAGTCACTGCACCAAAAGGTCACTGGAAGCTTCAAAGAAATGGAAAGACAAAAAGGACACGGTAACAACTTTAAATTTGCTGCTTTTTCAGGGTCTGAGAGAAACGATCCCTCCAAAGACAAGCCCTGCAGTACTCAACCACAGCACTGTATATTCAAGAGGCCGCGTGCAATTCGAAGTAGCCAAGCATCGCATTATTCAGATACCACAACCAACACCTGCACGAACAGCTGCCTGAGCTGGAAAAAGAGAAACATTATAC